GGGCGGTGCCCGCGGGCAAGAGGGCGGCGGGGAGCAGTGGCCTCTCCAGCGCCGGGCGGGGTTGTGCTGTGCCCGGCACGTCGTGCCCAGACACCTCAACGGAGTAAAGGGGTCTTTTTGTCTGGTTTTTCTGGCAGCGCGTAACTGACTTTCTGTCAGTTTGTCATTTTCATGACTGAAGGTGTTTGAAAATATTTGCCACCAAATGAAACAAACCCCCATCCTCTTTTTTTCCCCCCGACCTTAGATTTAATGGGAGGCTAATGGATGGCTGTGTGTGTCTGCAGTGGCGGCTGCTTCCACCACCTCCCTGCTCGCAGGCGTTTCCCCTGTTCACAATACTGAACAGGGAATGTTAGTGTAGTGAAATGGCTCCCCAGGGCCGAAGCGGAGTCGTGGGCCGGCTCCCATGGCAGGACAGCTGTGCCAGGCCAACGGTGCCAGGCCAAGCCCCTCGGTAGCACCAGGCCACAGCCAGCATCAGGTGACCCACCGTTGCAGAGGGCCTGGCCGCACAACCGCAGTGCCTAAACCCCATGTGGCCGAGGCACTCACGACGCTGTCTGCGAAGGGTCTACCCGAGGCGTCCTCCCACGGCACCCAACGTCTTCCGTGCCCTTCTTGCCAACGTGGTGGAAGGTGACAGTGATTCTTGGCCTCTCTGTTTTACCACAACATGGGACTTGATGCAGTTGATTAATTTTTTTGTTGATTCCTGAGGCACAACTGTTGTCTTTGCCAATTTTACAACTTAATTTAATTTATCCGGAATATACGATTTCCCTATTTTCTCTAATGCTTTGTTATCCTGCTACCCTACCAAAGTCAATGAAATGAAAGCACCTCTAAACCCCATTCTTGCTCTCCCCTTCCTCCATTATTTTCAAGAGCTTGAGGATCTGAAGCCATGTTCTTCCGTATCTCTTCCTATTTTGTATGAAACTGGCCTGAATCTGTTAACGATCTATCTTCATCATGATATTCTACAGTCCTAATATTAAACTATCTTTTTTTTTTTTTTTTTTTTGTTCAGCAAAATTCCCGGACCTCAAGATTGGCACAACTACTGCTTTTCATCAGTCATCTACTGTTATCCCCTGTTCACGTTAGTGACAGCGGTATCATCTGAATCTTACGCAACTCCAGTGCCCAAAACCGAGTGTCGTGATATCGCTGTTTCATGGTGCTGTTAAGCTGGTGTGAAAGTGAAATATTCAGCACAGCATTCAAACACCGAGCAACTTCCTTTTAATTCCATGATCCCATAAACTCTGCACCATTCTACAGGTGGATAATTTTGTCATTTTTCCAAGGTAACTGCAGGATTTGCCTTTTTTGCCACTGGGTTGACCATTTTGCTGCAGTTGAGGTTATGCTCTGTTTTGTGTCCCTGCCTCAAAATGCTACTTATTTGCTAATTTTCCCCAAACAGAAAAGTTGGTTGATGATCTTGCAACAAAATCAGAGTGTAAAGCAATGGAAAACCAGAATTTACATACAGTTTGTACCCACAAAGTGAGGAAAATCAGTAGCTTAGGCTGCCAAGTTATTCTTAAGAACAGTGAAGCGATCATGGACCAGAACACATACTAGTCTCACATTCACCTGAACCATTGCCAAGTAATCTGATTGCAAATTTAATAAACACTGCCACTGGAAGCCGACCTAAAAATGCAGCCTACCTCTGTACTAGCAGATTAAACGTGGTGCTGAGTTCAACTGACATTGGATAGTTCACTCCAGTTACCTTTCAAAACAAGGTGGCCACATGCAAATTGCCTACAGAGAAGAGTGCTACGTTCATGCTAATTCTCAAACCGTGAAGTGTGCTCTTTGGTCTGGGCCGAACCTCCGCCAGGGACCATTTGTACATCTTAACAGGTTAGAAAATCAAGTTTCACTCTCCAGGGCTGCTCTATAGTTTTCCAGGATAAAAATATTCTATCACTATCTTTTTATATATTTATATCTTTAAAAATATATTTGATCCGAAGCAACTTCATGCCTTTATATACATATAAAGCAACTTTAACCCAAAGCAACTTTTTTTTAAATAGCAAGCACTCATCCCTGCAGTTTCTTCCCTTCTCCACCTGGCTGCTACACAAGTTGCTCAGGAGTAGGAGTGAATCTGCCAAAATCCACCTAGTAGTAGCAAGAAGGCAGAGTGCTGTACCCGGCCTGGACTGGAGGGGGGGAAGTGCAACAATCCTGAGGAGCACTCCACAGAAAACAGCAATGATGTTTTTCATTTTAATTTCATTTCAATCCATGTTTTAGGATTTGGCACATAAGTGGTACCACACTTTCAGAAACCACGCTATACAGTTTGCTGTGCATCACCATTTCTTCTACTGAACCATGTCCTGCCGATTTTTTACAGGTCAGCAGTTACATCTACATCTGCCTTTTTTTTCCCCACTACTAGTTTCTTTTCCTCTAATGCTGAGTAATGATCCCCAAATTGTCTGAAATTAGGTGAAGACCTAACCTGTTTCTTTTTTTTTTGTTTCAATTAACCATTAACACTAACATTATTGCAAAAAGTCATATGATTACTTCAGCAGAAATTAAGAAGAAAAATTAACATCTATATTACTAGACTCAAATAAATCTTACAATGCAAAACCTTACGAGTATTTGTCAGCCCTTTCACACAAAAATCCTTTTCTTGGGAAAAGAAAACAGACAAAGAAGTGAAAATATATCATCTTGGTGGAAAACTCCTGAAACCACCTCCTGAAACCACCATTCAAATAATTTCATAACCCAAACTTTCCTACTGACATATTTATTGAAACCTATAGACAGTTTCAATAGTATTTTGCTTAGTATTTTTCCATGTGTATTTTCATCACTTCCACAGTAACATTACCAGTAGGGACTGATTTTGTAAGTATTTTTTTAACAGAATCATTGATGTTGCAACAACCCACCTCACAAATGTTTTGCAACAACATCCATATGGTCAGCTGTCAAACTGTCCCCATCATCCCATCCAAACACAGTCCAATCCATCATACCCCAAACTGTTCTGCTACCGAATTAACAAAAACCAAATTCTTTATTTGCATTAAATGTATATCATTGCACAGTTTCTACTCCCACTTTTGTTATACTACATTGCACAGTTTCTAATCCCACTTTTGTTACACTAACTAGCAGAGTGCCTGATGCTAATCCATCGGAGCCCAGTTCTTCTCTACTTGCATGACTACCACCGCTAATAGGAGGGTAAACATGGTGATGCCAATATCTCGTCTGTCTTTCAAGCTGCCCCATTCATCCGTCATGTCTGGGATGTTTGGATCTCTATGGATGGCAGGGATTAGCAGACAATGTCCCTTCTCTGCTTCCAGCTCCCTTTCAGCTCTTGTTAATTTACCGACAATCTTACTTACTGCACACATCATCAGTCTGATTGAATTCTCATGTAACTCAGTCTTTATATATGTTGTCTTCGTAACTTGCTTTCTTGATTTTTTCACCTCTTAAAATATTCTTCTTGAATTTTTTTTAGATTTTGTTTATTCAAAATATTTATTTCTAGATTTTTCCATCATTTAACTCCATTCCTTTACTGATTTGGCTTTTTCAGAAGTCTTGCCAGGTTTACACTTTTCGTGTAGTGTATTTGTGTTATTGATAGCCCAACTTTTCTTTGTATGTCTGTTTTGCAGTTCTCTGCTCCATGCTTTTTATTGCTTCTTTAAATATTTGCCATTCAGGTTATACCGAGATTTTTTTTCTGACCATGATGCACTGATACCTCTGTACTTACTATAAATAGCAGGGTAAATATTCTGAGCTGGCCTTTAAATTCCTGCAGGCTCCGAAGTGAGTAAAGCATGAATCATGAACTGAAGAGAGGTTCGGGGGCCTATTTTAGTCGAATACGCTCTCAGTCTCTCAGTGTTCATTTATTTAAGTGGGGACTAATGATGGTCACATCCCTTGTGACACTCTTAAGTCTCTCTGGCTCCACTCACACACGGCTTTCGGATCCTGGATTTATTCCCCAAGTCCCCTGTCCAAGACTAGTACACAGGCAGAGGAAACCTAGATACATCTTCACAATCTTCTTAAATTTATCCTGACAGGTAGGTCTATCATCCACCTCTGCCTCTCACTGCATGCATCTTCTTCAATATGTTCAGGCTGCCTTAGCGAATATGCTCACTGCATCCTTGTTCTGTTATATATCATATTTTCGATCCCTTAGCATCATTTTTCAGGCTACATATCAAGGAAGGATCTGCCCTGTCCCTGTGCTAGGCTTCTCCAAAAGGATGCCACTCTTGTACTCCATTACAAGATGTTCCATATGCTTTAAATAATTTTGCCTGCCATGCTGGGGCTTGGCGGGAGTTGACCTGTTTTTCTTTTCTCTTGTTAATCTTCCTCTGATTACTTTTGAGCATTCAATCCATGTTAGAGAGAGGGGTTGAAGCATCAAAGATGAGAAGTACTTGCAAATTTGAGAAATTAGAGCCTGGGTAAAGGAAAGAGAGAGATTCAAATTTCTGCTATGGGAAAGAAAAGCAGAACTCAGCCTCTTTTGTGCGTGGAGTGGCAGCAACCAGACAGTTAACACAAACCTGGCTGATCAGCATAAATATCGCTTGAGCTCAGCCACTGCAACATCATCTCCAAACAGACAGGGGAAGATTCGAACTATCAAGCATCAGGACTAAGAAAGTAGAATTCATTTGTAGACTGTTCTGGTTTCAGCTGGGATAGAGTTAGTTTTCTTCTTAGTAGCTGGTAGAGCGCTGTGTTTTGGATTTAGGATGAGAATAATGTTGATAACGCACTGATGTTTTGGTTCTTGCTGAGCAGAGTTTACACTAGTCAAGGACTTTTCAGCTTCTTGTGCTCTGCCAGGTTCAGGTGCATAAGAAGCTGGGAGGGAGCATAGCTAGGACAGCTGACCCAAACTGGCCAAAGGGCTATTCCATACCATATGACATCATGCTCAGTATATAAGCTGGGGGAAGAAGAAGGAAGGGGGGGACATTGGG